CATGCTACCGGAAACTTTGAAATGAAAGGATTTGCGGCGGTAGTCAATACTTTTCCCAGAAACTCAACACACCGCCAAAAAACTCAAGCAATTCACCTTCACTGGAACTGACATGGACCAATTACCAGATGGAACCAAATATGTACGGGCCATCAGCCCAATCAAAATCCCCCTTGAAGGCCGACAACAGGCCGAAAGCAAAATCACCGAAGATGAAAGGCAGAGCCTCAGAGGACACATTGGGAGTCCACAAAATACGCAGTACACACACCCGCCGACCTGGCCCGACTCAGCAACGCTCAAGAAATTACTTGAAACACACACCACCGCCACTTATAATGCTCAAAATCTACCCGCCAGCATTGCAGCAACCGACTGCACATCACTTTATGATCTCATTACCCGGACCACCGCCCCGAGCTGTACTGAATACAGAACCCAACTGAACGCGCGCGCGCGCGCGCGATTAAGGAATTTCTCACCTTGCGCTGGGTTCATAGTGGTGCTCAACTACCTAGAGGATCCAACGTCGCGCTTTGGACACCATTTGCTGCAAACGGCATGTTCCATATACATGGCGGCGCGCTTTGTAGAAACGTCGTCGTTTGCATTACAAAGCGCACGTTTTCGCAACAATGCGCACGTTTTTCGCGCCAAAGCGCACGTTCGAAAAACAAACGAGGCGGACGGCGCCGTTTGTAGAAACGACGTCCAAAGCACACGTTTGGAGCCTCTAGGTAGCAGACTGTTTGACAAAAATGATGGATTCTTCTTCCTTCTTGAGAGAGACGCTTCGACTGGGTAAGTATCCTTTGCATGACGAACTTGACGAGGTACTCAAGAATCGGGCCAGTGCTCGCAACAAGATCCGATGGCTGAAGGCATCTTGCGAAAATCCGACCGAAAGCACTCGATGCAACGAGAACTGTTTCATGTGTCTAAATATTGACTTTTTGGGAGTGTGATTCCACCTCGTTGCATCAACCAGTGGTCAGATATCCAATCCTGCCGAGCAGTTCTCGATCCACTTCACGGAACTACCATGATTTCCTCCCTGGCACATAGGCTCAGGAGTGCCAGAGGTGGGTGGGCTAGGGATTCACGTGTGCTGAAGCCATTTGGAGTGGAGCGAGGACGCTTCTTGGAAACCAGGGTGCTTACTTGTGGCCTTTTGGCCTTTGCCGTGCAATCCAGCTGCCTTTGGAAGTCACCTGTGACTTTTGTGCCGCGTGGTCGAGGAAAACGACCGCCTTGCTTGTTTGAAGGTGTCTTGGGAGCAGCTGCCAGTGTACTTGGGCATCCGATCCCATCTACAGTATATATATATATATACACATACATTTACGCTGATATATTTATGATTCTCACTGGTGGAATTTCTTGTGAGCCATAGCCTGCCGCCATCACCCAGTGAGCATACAACATGAAAGATTTGTGAGCTCGTTGGCCCTCACAGATCTGTTTAATGGGCTTGGAGGGCTCAATCCAACTTTATCCAACTTTGTATATCGCGTCCCTCGGCGCCTAGCAGCAAATGATTTGGCCGCGAGCCCTCAACCCGCAAGTTGGAGAACATTGCAAAGGCCGGATACGTCCGTGTGCCTGACGCCAAGGAATCCTAGACGCTTCAAGCGAAGGAACAATAATGAAAAGCAAGAGCAGAGTTCAAATGATTTGGCACGACTGCAACAAAGTGCAACTCAAAAACATTTAATTATGAATCCAGCTGGCATGTGCTGCCTAGATATGGACCAAGACCGAGCAGCAGTGTTGCGACAACTGCTATGGCTGCAGCCTGGGCGTATGAAAAGCTCAGTTTTGCTCTGCACCAATCAGATTGCGCGGGCACATGTCGAATGAAGTCGCCGTCTGACACAAACACCAATTCCACACATGACAACAAACCTATTGGCAAGAGGGAAAAAAAGAAGTTTTTCAATGGACATCATGCAGCCCGATGCTGGCTTCTTGGACTTAAGAAAAGAATTACGCACTTTGACCCGAACGAAAACGACTCTTGCGGGATCTCAGAAGACTTGGGCCAAGACTGTTCAACCGAAGACTCATAAATAAAGGGTGCTGGGCAAGTTTGGGCGAGCGTTAAGTTCAAGTTTTTTTTTTCTGGATCTTAAGACACCTCTAACTATCCCCCCCTTTATGCATCTTTTTGCGGGGATCTTTTGTTGGCAGCTTTCAAGTTTGCAGCAGTTCATGTGACACTTCTTGCAAGGTCCAGCAATGTGGCGGTAGGCAATGGCAGGTATTGTGTATATAGATAGATAGATAGATAGATAGATAGATAGATAGATCGATCGATCGATAGATAGGTAGATGGATGGATGGATAGATAGATAGATAGATAGATAGATAGATAGATAGATAGGTAGAGAGACAGACAGACAGACAGACAGACAGACAGACAGACAGATAGATAGATACGCGGAAAGAGACGCAACATGCCAGGTAATCAGGTGTGAAGTCAACCATTTATGTTCTGATATAAGAATCTTTGAAAGTGAGACTTTCTCTGCGACCAAGCAGCTGCACCGACCGGGCGACCATCCTGCGTCGGAACAAGTTCGGCAATGAGCTGAGCTAGTTGGAGATGTGACAGCAGAAGGGAACGTGGTTGCTTAAACGGGACTTTGTAATGCTCATCGGCAGGGCACGGCCAATCCGCACAGATCGTTAGCATGCTGTAACAGGCAAGGTGAAGGTAGGAAAATAGGCTTGGAAAATCTTGGAAACCAAGGTTGCTCCCACCTCATTTGAGCCCTTGCCGAGCAAAGCCAGCAGCGAAAGGAAGGTAGTAACCTGCAAGAGGGTCATGACATGATCATCATTGATCACCGACCACCCAGTGTCTGTCAATTGCGCAGAGAGCTTCCTTCCAACATGCATCTTCCAACAGCCAGCATCAACTTGCAAAGGTTGCACTGGCAAGTCCGCGCTTTGCTTTGGACCGTGGTCGTATGTGAACGCGCACTCATGCGAAAACAGTTCTGCTTGGCCAAGCGGCCTAATGCCACTTTTCTCCCACAGGGGTGTAAGAGGGTGGGGGCGCGGGGGGCGTAATAACGTTCATGCTGAGTTGCACACGTGCTTGGTGAAATGCAAGAGACGCGCTCCGCTTGATGTCAACTTGATGAATGGGCTTCAAAACATCGCTGGGCTGGCACAAAAAACGCTCCGATTCGCTGTGCCACCATGGAAGGCATGCTGAGTGGCACGTGTTTACGTACAACTGGTGCTGCTTTGGACAGCTGGCTTTAGGTTCGATAAAATTCAATCCAGCCAAGAGACACCCAAACACCAGCAAATGCCAGCATTGTACAAGTCGTAAGGCCTTATTCGATACTTCGAAAACGGATTTTGCGTCGCAAAAAAAAGAGCTTTCACCTTGAACCCAAGCCCCTTGTAGATCTTCTGGCCGGCAAACAGAGTGATACTTCTTGACAAACAAAAATCTTTCTTACCTAATTTTTTTTCTCCAAGTTCTCGTCGAAGACAAGCGAAAAACCAACACAAACCTTTCCCCAATTGGCACGCGCATGGCCTGCCCCTGTGCTGACTCAGCCTCATCCAACAAGTCCAAGAGACGGATACTCGAATGGGGCATCCTGTGGGCCACCTTTCAGCCAGGAAGACCAAGCACCTGACCAAGAAACCAGCGCATCTTCAGGCAAACAAGAAGCCGGAGATAGTCGGAGAGTAACATAGGGTATAGCAATTTCCCGCCACACAGCTCACTTAGCAACATGCCGCGCCCGCTTCCCTGGCACTACATCTGTTGCACTGGGCGGCTTGTTTCATGCGTCACTCCTTCTGACCTTTTGCCTGTGCTGTAGCACTTGTGAATATGGGGGGCTCAAGAATGATGAAGAGATGGCTGTACATGGTCAGAGTTGTCGGAGAATGCTCGTGCCTGACAGATTTGCGGCAGCACAAGTTGACAGTATGAGGCCAGGCAGTGATAGCCTTGGCCAAAAGTGCCAACTTCATTGCATTGCGCACATAGGCAACGACCATGAAAGCTTGTTACTATGGGGCATGCGATGCTGCTCCTTTCCTGCATTGACCGGTTTGGACCAACGGCAAACAAATGAGAATATATATATATACATACACACACACATATATATATTTATATTTATACACGCGCATATAGACAAACATATATATATATAAATACATACATATACATATGATGAACAGAAAATAAGCAACGCACTATTTTCCTATTGAGCCAAACCCATACCTGTTGACACCTATGGTCAGACAACTAAGGCAACCTCTATATCTCGTCACCCCTCCTGTACAGAGGTTTGAGATGGTAGATAACCGATGTACACTACGATACAAGAGCTTTAGCAACCTCGGCTCTGCCGTAGGCGTACTCAAAGCCCATTCGCCTCATATGCAGCTCCATTTCAGTTGCAGGCAAACTTTTGGTCTTACACGTTCAGTTTTGATTCAGTTTTGTGGCTATTTTAGCCAAGGGAAACTCTTCTTGAGCTAGCTTCTCTTGTGCCCACAGGAAGCGGGTCTGTACATGCCGTGAACGACCAAGACCTTGTCGATTGCAGGTGCCAAGTGCGGCTGATGAATCCGTGTGACCCAGTGTGCTGCTTGTCTTGGCTGTGTGTCTGCCGTGCGCCGCTCCAAGTCCGCTTGTCGAGCGTCTCGTCAGCAAGCATCCAGCAAAATCTGCATCCACGTACACATGGATTGTGTCTGCAAGTTTCTGATGTCCAAATTTCAGTAGGACTCGAGGGCGTCCTTTGAGAAATCGAACTAGACGCTTGAGATCTTGATAGTCGCTCTCAGTTGGTTGATGCATTCTTCTAGCCAAACACTTGACAGTCTCAGAGATATCGGGACGATCCTGCGCCACATATGATGCACGCATCACCAGAGACCGGAAGAAACTTATATACACGGTCAGGTGAGATAGTCTTGTCCTCCAACTTTCTCTGAGCTTCTGTAGTCGACATTTTCTCTTAAGGTGTTTTCGCTCGTTTACAGTTTTCAATCTCCAGATCCCGGATTATCTGATCTACATGTCTTGGGTCTGCTTCGTAGGAGATTGTGCCATCTTCATGATACGTGACAATGCGATTCAACACAGTGAGCTGCTGATACTGTTCTCCAGAACCAATGGATCCGCCAACTCTCAGGTCGAACTTGGATCGCAATGCTTCCTCGGGATACTTGTGACCAGCATCGTCCGCAAGTGCCACGAAATCATCTCCGTGTACCAAGACCCTGATTTGCATTGCCTTGTGATAGAAGCACGAAGGCCAGGCAGGGTTCTTGACAAACCCTGCCTACCCAAAAGCAGGTCCGTGTAGCATCTCTGCCAAATTGCTGATGCATCGCGAGTCCCATGCATGCTGCGAACCAGCCGTCCGCAAAATCCATCTTGTCGATCTCCCTCTGGAAGTTCCACGACAACGTCTCTCTCCGCCTCCCAGTAGAAGTGGGCGCGTGAGATGTCAATGAGCTTAGCTTTCAGTGGATGTCCAGCTTTTGATCGCTTTTATGTGACCATTGAAGATAGAAGGATCTGCTTCAGCGACTCCATCGGAGGCATAGCGCTGAAAGATGCGTACTCCGGAATGAAGTCGGCATTTGATGCACGTTTGATCTCGCGACAGACCAGTCGGGATCTATAGTTGGGTCTTTGTGTATCTCCCTTGTTTCTATCAACCAATTTCATGGATATGATCGGCTTGTTGGCCGCTTTGGCTTCTTCGATCGGTAGACATATATGCCTTGTCGATGGACCCAATTGAGCTCCTCCTGTCGCACTTCTCGGACCATGTCGGTGTCCAAGACCATGCCGGTGTTGGAGTCGATCACAGGTTCAGAGATATACTCATCAGTGCGCAGCAGTTTACTCCAATATTCGTCTTCTTCGTTGATCACTGGAGTGGTATCTGGCGCTGGCCCTGTTCAAAGCGATTGGACCTCACCATCACACTGCAGTTGCTGTCTTATGGCTTTCAGGATGCCATGTACAAGCCGAGGTGGGTACACCTGTGCTGCTCATGCTCGTCCGTCTACAAGATGTACGTGGCGGTGCCACACCTTCCCTTCCGCGTTCGAGCAACAGCCCTTCAATACCGACGCCAAGATCGGTGAGTTTGTCAACCATCTGGTTTGCTTCTTGATCAAGCCTGGACCCGATGCATCTGACCCGGCAAGGCCCCATCGACACATAGGTCCGTAGGTCCTTGACTGCCTTCTCTTCCCATGACGCAGCACCATCTGGGTGTTCATGATAAAAGTAGCGTCCTTCATTCATCTGCTTCTTGTAAACTGACACTGCTGTTCTCAGATGTTTCTTTCCAGCCATCAAGCGTTCTTCTCTCGTCTCGGAATCCACATTGGCCCTTGCATTCACCAGGGCCTGCAGCTTCGAGAATGGACCACAACGTGGTGATCCTCCGGTGAACTCGGGCTTTTCGTAGTCGATCAGCTGCATCAAGTCATTGATGTGTGAATCTTTGCTAAGATCCCAGTGTTTTCTGTCTCCTCTTTGTGTTTCCAGGTCTATTGAGAAACCCGGGGCTAATCCCACAAGCTGCGCTTTTGCGGCAACCCTGGGAGGTGAAAATATTTCCGCAACTTTGCCCTCTGCCACCACATCCTTCAGGAGTGAGCAAAGATGAAGCATCTCTTGGTTGGACTCTTCTGGTCCTGGCTCCCCTGCGGATCCAGAGGAACCAGCCGGTGCTCCAGACGAAACGTCCGGAACCGGCGGGCCCACTGACCCTGAGGATTGGCCCGTAGCCTCAGCATGCAGATCTTCAACTTCAACCTGCGCTGTTCTCTTTTCTCCCTTGGGACTCATAGTCATTCCCTTACGCCTCTTGGGGCTTTCTGCCCTCAACTCCTCTCTATATACTCTCTTCTCTTCAACTCGTCGCTGATGTCAGCATCGATCAACGGCTCTCCAACTGCTTCGCCTGCAGCCATCTCACTATCGGCAGGAACCCGATCCTGCAACACCAGTTGCTCCTCTTGAGCTTCCCCTCCTGGGACCGGGGGTGCTGCTGGGGGTGGTGGCGCCATTCCGCCACCTGCTTCCCCTTCTTCCTCTTTTCTCTGCCTCTTGCCGGCCTCTATTCTTTCCTTTGCGCGCTTGATGCGCTCCTGTCCCTCTGGAGTTTTTGTTCAACTCCAACTGTGTGCGTTGTCTGCATTCTGCATTGTGTGCCCTGCTGGGCAGCTCCATGATTGCCGCCATGCATCCAGGGCATAAAGGTGTATGAGTGTATGCCCAAACTTCTCCAAGTCTGTTTTCGTCACGTAGAGGTTCCTTGGCACAATTTCCTGCACAGGACCAATCTCTGTCCTGGCTGTTGGCCTATCGAGCTCTCTTCCCTTTGCCCTTCTTGGGAGTCTGCCTGCGGCTCGGTGAAATGGTTCGGGAACTATCCGTTGTTGCGGCCAAACTGGGAGGTGCCTGAAATTTTCAACACCAAGATTGGCAGGCAATTGACAATTGAGAGGAAGAATAAGTTTATTGAGCAGCATTCAGTGGCATTCCCACTCACCAACATCCGCATTCCCATCCAACATCCAACGCGGGGACCCCCGCCTGGCCCACTGCGGGGCACTTGGAGCCCACCACTGGGCCTCATTGTGCCACCACTCCTGCAGCCCAAGTGACTCAGAAAACATATCCCCTCCAGTAGACCAACATGCACGGATGACACCCAAATCTCAGCAGAAATCAGGGCCCTATAGATATCAATAGATATCTTCTATTATCAAACTATTCAACTCAATCTTTTGGGGAACTATTCTTCAACTTCTTTTCGGGGTTGAATGTGAAGTTCATCCTATCCGTGTCCTGGCCGTAGCCCCACCAATCCTCGGCCAGCGGCAAGCTTGGCGTCCCTAATCTTATTTTTCGGTGATCAAACATGGCAATGCGAAATCCCCAAGCAAAATTCAGGAAAATGTTGGAAATTCAGTGAAATTCATCTATAAACAGAGGATTTTCAAAGGCTATGTCAACTTACCAGAGGGTAGTGCCCAATATATTTACCTTCATGAAAATATCAAGGTCGCACACTTTGATCCATCCCCTAAACTCAAATCATCCCTGAAACATGCCAAAACAAATGAATGTCAATGTCATTTGAAACAGCTTGGCTCCCCTGGCTCCCGAGTTCCATGCCTGAAAGTCGTTCCATGTTCTCTGCTAAAGTCAAAGGCCATGCAAAATGTGAACCGGGTTCCCGGCCCAATCTGAAGACTTGCGCTTCTTGCCAGCCTACCGTCCAAGGTCAAGACGTTTCATGTTGCTTTCCTTTTGGAGATCTGAAATGGCAAACTGTTGATGCAATGTACATGAGAAAACTGGGGCCTTCCCTATGCCCATTTGGAGTACTGCAGAGTGTGTGGGCTAAAAGCCTATAGGATCCATAGGCCAATAGGATTGAATTGTGGTGGCCAAAAATGATGATCCCCAAACAATGCCACAGCAAGCCTTGCCCTGGCCCCAGTCGTCCCAATCCTCAAGACGCGACGCGTGGCAGCCATGCAGTTGGCTGAAAATGCTGGGGGCCCTGACGCCCTCATAGGCAATGGATTTGCCTGACAAATTCATCGTTTCTGATTGGTTTCAGCCCTTCATATGGGAAGACCCACGGTTCATACGTCGATTTCCCAGCCAAAAACACACAGCATTTGGGGTGTTTTTCAGCCGTACAACCCGGAATCCTGCGGCAAATGGTCGCCCTCCTGCCTGCTTTGCGCCATGACCAGCCGGCTCCAGTTCCTGGAACAAAACGACTCAGGGAGGAGCATCAGAATCAGAATCAATCCAGTCATTTCACTTCTATCTTAGCGCACATTTACACCCTACTTCTGCGTAACTACATAGATTAGGTCAAACATTACATGGATGCTCAATGCTCCCCCCAAAAAAACATCCTAAAGTACTAGTACTAAAGCAGTCTAAACTGCAAAACTTACTGAACCCAAGTAAACGATCCTCTTTTTGAGGGACCTCGAGTTTTGATCCCATTCCGGCGCCTTGGGTCCAGCTCTTCTCTCCATTCTTCAATAGTTGGAGTAGCGCAATTCCGGCGCCGTCATCGCTGCGAACTGGCACCAAGTTCAATACAGTCATTTACTTCTTGGGAAACCCCTGAGCCATCATTTATGGTCAAATTTCATGGGGATCCTCATGATTCCCCTCTCCCCCCAAAAAAAAAGGGAATATGAGGGAATGGATTTGGGTTGGTATCTGAGAACTTAATCCTACTAGTGACTCATCATTTTCTCCATGAAATTCGGCCATAGGGTTAAAACATGGTAAATCCACCATTGTCAGAGCAAGAAACAACTTGTCGAGGCAGCTGCCTTCAGGCTTCTTTCCTCTGCCCTTCAGTTGCTGCAGCAATGCTGCGCCGGCACCCTGGATTGGCTTCTCCTGTGGCTCGATTTGAACTGGACTCATGATTCAATGGCTGGGTTTAAGAGGTTTTAAGTGAAAATCATGTGAAAATCTACAGCAAATCAATGTCTTTACCACCAATTTCCTTTAAATGTTCTTATCATCCAATTCTGGGAACGGCTCTATGTCTCTCAATTGGCTTTCTTGTGACATGTCAAACGCACGTTTGCAGGAACCTCTTCATCCTCTTCATGTGAATTGAAGCGTTTCAAAAAAAAAACTCAAGTTATCTCAAGTTCCCTATCCCAAAAGACTAGTTCGGTGATTCTTTCTGATCCATGTCGCTGGGTCCTCCTTTTTCACCAAATTCAGGAGGAGTTGGCCAGCTTTGGCACCAGCCTCATTGCATGCCGTCCTCTCAGAGGAAGCACCCGGCCGTGCCGCCTGGCCAAAAAGGCAAATTTTCGGTATCTGGGTAATGTTGGGTTAGGATTAATAAAACCCCCAAATTAATCATACCCGTTTTCACCGGAAATTTTTGGGCAATACTAAAGTCCTCTACGTGCTGATTTCCCCCCTAATAATGGAACACCACCCCCGAATTAATCATACCCCTCCGGGATCCCCAAATTTTTGGTGGGACTAATTTGCTATTACTCCCTTTTACTTTTTAATTCGGGTTACAATTTCCAGGGTTCCTTCCTATTTTGGTTTACCATAGGTATTCTTATCTTTTCTCACTGGAATCTGATGGTTTACCATGGATTTTCGAATCTTCCCTCATAGGAATTTGATGGTTTCTACGGGGTTTCCTCATCTTCCCTCAAAGAAATTTGATGGTTTACCAAAGGTTTTCTGATCATGTCTCATTGGAATTTGATGGTTTACCATAGGTTTCTGATCTTTTCTCATTGGAATCTCATGGTTTACCATTCATTTTCGAATCTTCCCCCCTTTCTCTTGGCATAGCCATGTCTGGAAGAGCAATGCGGAAACCACCATGCTCTCTTTCTTGAAGTCTCCATGGCAGCCCGTGCATGGTCTCAAATCCATCATGCTTGAATTGGTCATCCGGGGGCCGGCGATGGATCGAATGTCCATTCATGTCCATTCATGATGCCACGTGGTGTCATTGCGAAGACATCCGAATTCCGATTGCCAGTTCCCACATACATGCCAATGGAAATGCGTGGGGCCAAGTCATTCCTACGGCCTCCTCTGTTTGCTCGAGGCCTGTACAAACTGCTTTCCCCAAACCTAACCAAAAGTATACGCCACTTGCGTCCGTATGTTCTTCCAAACGCTGTTTTGCCATCTGTTCCTACCCTGTATCTCGTGAGCAAGAACGCCGCGTGGCACGGTAGCCATACCAGCAAAGGGTGGCTGGCTGCCACTTCCATGCCAAGTTTGTTTTGCAGATGAGTGAGAAGTGCTCTACACTGTCTTTTGATTTCTCGGACCCCCACTTCGATAAACCCATTCCCTAAGTCTCGAAAGTTAGTAATTTTACTCGCCCTGAATTTTACGTAAAATCGACTGTTTTACTAACGTTATTTTACGTAAAATTTTACTAACGTTAATAAAATTTACTAACGTTAGTAAAATTTTACTAATGTTAGTAAATGATTTTACTAACGTTTGTAAAATTTTGCATGCTTTCAAAAATTGTGAAAATTGTGTTTTTTTTCTATTGTTTTTCTTAGGAATTCTGATATTTTTTGTGATGTGTGTGATTGTGGTTTGCGATGATTTGGTTATGAGTGGGGTGTTTCCAGTGGAGGATTTCAATCGATATGTTGTTGTTACTGTAGAAGAAACTGCACTTATGTGTTGAGGAATGACTTTACATGAGTTTGTACTGGAGACTTTACTTGCGATTTTATATGAGGGGTTCTTGGTACTTTCTTGGGACTTTACCTGAGAGTTCTTTTGAGATGTTATGTGAAATCATGTACATCTATAACTATATCTATATATCTATAAAAACATATAAACTGGATTTACATAATAATAGGTGAATCCACAAAAGGGATTTACAATGGATCTTGACTTTAAGAAGTCATTGCAAAGCATTTACATTTGAAAAAGAAAGTCTAGATAAATTTTTGGGTAAATGAGACTAGGTGAAATATCAAAGCAATAATAACCACATCTTATCATTTTTTCCAGGCAAGGAAAGTGAACCAAATTTTATTGGATCAGGTTTGTTTGCTACAAAACTTGATCAACTTACATAAAACAATTGTCCATGGGGACTGAAGACATGTCTTTTTCAAAGCTAAATTTAAAAGGGAGCTCATAGACTCTTGTGGTGTTTTTTTCTCATACAATTTGGAGAAGGTCTGGATGAAATCCTGGTAAACCTTTGGCTGGCTTGAAAAAATACATCCAAGAAGTCTTAGTGAGACCCTTACTCCACTTTCAATTCCATATGAATATTTTTTCACATGTGTCCAAAGTTTTTTTCAGAAAAATGCTTGAACACGGTCAAAAATGCAATGCACTTCTGATGCTTTTGGCGCACTTTTGATGCACTTTTGGCGCACTTTTGATGCACTTTTGGTGCACTTTTGATGCACTTTTGATGCACTTTTGATGCACTTTTGATGCACTTTTGATGCACTTTTGATGCACTTTTGGTGCACTTTTGATGCACTTTTGATGCACTTTTGATGCACTTTTGATGCGCTTTTGATGCACTTTCAAAAGTGGTGCACTTTTGATGCACTTTTGATGCACTTTTACCGCCTTTTGATGCACTTTTGATGCACTTTTTAAAAGTGCATCAAAAGTGCGTCAAAAGTGCGCCAAAAGTGCGTCAAAAGTGCGTCAAAAGTGCGTCAAGAATTTATGGCATTTTTCTTGGAAAAAATAAAAAATGATAAGGTTCTCTCTCAAAAAGAGATTGCATGCATTGAGTTTGAAGTAAAACTCCTTCAGTGCAGTCTCAAGTAAGGTGCGAAGTGCAATGATAGCAAACTCAGTAAAGTTCACTAACAACAGTCTCAAGTAAAGTTCGCTGGCAACAGGCCCGAGTAAAGTTCATTGGATGCAGCCTCAAGTAAAGTTTATTGGATGCAGCCTCAAGCAAAGTTCATTGGATGCAGTCTCGAGTAAAGTTCACTGACAGCAGTCTCAAGTAAAGTTCACTGACAACAGGCTCAAGTAAAGTGCACTGACAACAGTCTCAAGTAAAGTTCACTGACAGCAGGCCCAAGTAAAGTTCATCGGATGCAGTCTCAAGTAAAGTTCATTGGATGCAGTCTCAAGTAAAGTTCATTGGATGCAGTCTGAAGTAAAGTTCACTTACAGCAGTCTCAAGTAAAGTTCATTGGATGCAGTCTGAAGTAAAGTTCATTGGATGCAGTCTCAAGTAAAGTTCACTTACAGCAGTCTCAAGTAAAGTTTATTGGATGCAGCCTCAAGTAAAGTGCAGTGTCAACATTTTCAAGTAAAATCTTTATGCAGAAAAGTTTCTTGGATCTGTTTTCATGTAAAGCCAACCTCAGCGAACAGCAGCAGCACTTATTTTTTTCACACCCCAATGCGAGCTATCAGGAATTGACCGTCTATCTTTCTTTCAGAATGTTTTCGTTTTGCGGCAAAGGACATATCCTTATGCAGGTTCCACATGCTAATTTCTTCACATTCCTCAACAATATTTGCGTGTTCATTCTGCTTCTTATATCAAATTCAAGGAAAGTCGAAAACCTATCACACATCTTCTGGCACATTTTTGATGCATTTTGATGCATTTTTGATGCACTTTGATGCACTTTTCCTTTTTTTTATATTACATTTTACTAATTTTGCAAAAATCAACAAAAAAAATTACGTAAAATCTTCTGGATTAGTAAAATTACTAAATTAGTAAAATTACTAGCTTTCGAGACTTAGGGTTTGCTCTCGCCTCATCTACTGGGGTTTCAGCCAGGTGAACTTGTATATGGGTCTTAAGTTCTTTGACCCTTTGTTTGAGGGTTACTGAGGAGGGTTCCCCAACACTCTTTAAGAGTACCTTATTAAACCCCGAATCATCCAACACTCCCCCAAGCCATGAAACTGCGAACTGCTCATCACCCTTTTTCGGCAAGACCATCGCCCAAAACCATTTGGTCTTGTGGCATTTTACCACAATGCTCGGCAGCGTCGCCTCGTCCACGTCCTGGTTCGTGTAGAAGCAGTCCAGCGACAAAGTTGGCATTTGCGTCTCGTCTTCATCCGACTCTCCATGAGCGTGGCGATCTGCTGTCACCCTGGCCCGCTTGCAATGCAGGCACCACGATCTGTGTACCACCTGTCCCGTGGCCTCATGTTCTTCCACCTCAGCCTGAGTTGGCTGGTGTGGTTCCCTTCTGATAATTGCCTTTCTTTGTTCCTCTCCAATCTCCATATCAACAGCCTCATCCAATGCCTCTGCTCCAGCCGAATCGGCGGGAACATCTGTGCCCGCCTCAAACTCATCTCCAGCCGAATCGGCCGATGGTTCGTCGACGGCATTGAGCTGCGGACTTACTCCACTTGTGGATGCTGGGTGAAAGGTGACACCCAGCAGTCCATCACATAGATCCCACGGCGGTTCTGCACAACTGGCAGTTCGTCGCCATAGGTCTTGATGGTCTCCTTCATGGCCTTCGCATAAGCTTTTCCTGCCTCGGTGTGGTGAGGAATCAACCGTCCAGAGTGTGGTCCAAGTGCAATGTGGTAATTTTGGCCGCATCAGATCCAGCAATCAAAGCTCGATGTACATCAGCAACCCGGCACTCCAAACGGATCCGGTTGCCATGCTTGTCAGTCCCAGACAGGACTACTCCTCCTTGGTCCTCGATGGACTCCGCATTTGCAGCCTTGTGCTAGGCACCATTGGGCTCATTCCTTGGATAGTCCTTTACAAAGTCCAAAGGCACTGCTGTGATGGCAGCGCCTGTGTCCAGGTTAAGCTCGGCATATGGCCACCCTTTCCATTCACCAGTGGCCCCAAGACTGCAAACAGCAGCCGGCGCCGAACCTGCACCTCCATCGGGATCTCCTTTCCCTGACCGGTCACGCGGCGCATCTGGAGGATCAAAAGATTCCTCATCATCGACCTCGACTTCCTCGTATTCATCCGTCTGGTTCCAGTTGGGGTTCTCAGTAAGCACCAAGGGATCCCGATTTTGTCTATTCATCTTTCGTGCCTAGTTCTGGGCACGGTTTCTCTTCTGTTTGTACTCAGTGGATCTCACTCTTTTCTGCTTGGGCTTCTTCTGAGGATCGCTTCTCAACAGGTTGTGCCCGTCGTCGGGAAACTGCATGAAGTCCTTTCGCTCAGCTTGGCCAAAAGGAGTCAACGTAGTCTCTCCCGTCTTCCCAACGATCACTGTTTCGATTCCAGCATCCAAGTTGTCCCCCAAGCTACGTTGTGTGGAATCCCTTTTGCCACATCTGCATGGTATCGACTGTCGTGGAAGGATGCATCGTTCAAGTTGTCATTGGTGATGTGTGGTACCCTTGTGGATCTCTTTGCCAAGGCTTTCACCACCTCGGCTGTCTTTGCTTTGGCCTCGCCATCCATGGCCTCCTGCTCCAACATCAGTTGAGTGCTGAATGCAGCCTTCAGCATTGAGAGCATTCTTGAACCCGAAGTTGATGGAGCGGCTCCTGATTGCTGGAGGCGCAGCTGGTTCCGGGGGCTTCCAGCCTGGCGGAGGTTCACTTGGCTCCGGTGGCTTCCGTTCCTCACCAAGTCCAGGGGCCTTTGGCTCAAAAGGGCTCGAAGCAAACTTAGCTTTCACCGGGGTCTTCGGCGGCGGACCCGGTGGTGTTTTCGGTGAAGGTGGTGGTCTGCCTGGCGGGGTTCCCAAAGACGTCGCCATTGCCACTGCTTTTCTCCTTGGCGTGGAACTCCTTGATCTTCTGGTCCTTCGATGCGGCGATGGGGTCCTTTCCACACCTGAAGTCGATGGCCGTGGATCCTCGTTCACCAGTCCCGGCCGAACCGGCTGAGACGGTTGAGGTCCAAGATGCCCATCACCCCCAACTGACCCACTGTCATCGCTCGAACCACTGTCTCTTTCATAGTCCGGTGGTGCTTCTTCCATGTCACCAAAGGCACAAAGTTCCAACCCATTGGCAGCAGCCGGATTGGAGTCGCCCACCTCTTGCGCATCCCAATCTTCAGCCTCAGGTTCGCCTCCGGTCTGTTCCATGCTGTTCATACCTTTACCATTCTTAGATTGGCCTTGCTTGGGCTTTCCCGCGGTTGGCTTTCCTTTTCCTTTGGACTTGTCCTGTCCTGACTTGCCTTTTCCATCCTTTTCCCTTTTCTTTTGGTCCTCCAGGTGCCCAACATTCTGCTCGGATAGGTCCTTGGCGTCCGCAATTGAAACAGCTCTTGGTCTTGTCGCCTTTGCCCTTGCCATCAGAGCCTTTCTTACCTTTTCCTTTCTTGCCCTTGCCAAGGCTGCTGACATCCATTGGATCGTCAGGTCGTCCGTGAGGATCATGTGGCTGCGAGTTGTACACCTTGATCCGATTCCCTGTGCTGTGTTCCACAGAGGATTGAATCTCGCTCAGCATCGAGTCAAAGGTGCGAAATCTGTCACGGTTGAGTACCAAATAGCGTTCAAGTTCTGCAACGGCTCGATCACGTTGATCTTGATGTCCTCCGCTAAGGTTGGCCGATTGCCTGAGGAGTCCTTCCTCCGCTCGTAGAGGCGGATCGAGTCCAGCAACTTCTCCAAGTTTGATGGCAGGTCCTCCATCTTCGACCGTGAGGGGGTGAGGATCGCATTGAGCAGCGCCCTCTTCCGCCCTCCGGTGGCCGGATCGTACCGGCGAGTCAGCCGGCGCCATCCTTCGAATCCGCACTCACTGGAATTCAGGATGATATCAAAATCAAAGGCTCCTTTTCCGTCAGCATTAGCAAGACATCCCAAAGCTCCCTGCGCAGTTCCTGGATGTTGTCGATGCGATCCAACTCATCTGCAGCATGGCCAAAGGTGGCATCGATGTTGAGGTCAGTGATTGGCTGGTTGCATCCTGCGTGCCAAGCCAAGACGTCTCGAAGTTCCTTGCGGATGCTCACCAAGTAGGACGTAGTTTTGATTTTCCAAGGCAGAAATTTCCCTGGCTCTCCTGCAAACTTGTCTGGCTTTCCAAGGCCCTTCTTGTCCACTAATCGCACTTGCTCTTTGAATTTGAAGGCCGCTATCAGTTCTCACTTTGGGCCCCAATCAACTCAGCCAACGCTCCACCATCTCCAGTCGAACCAACCGGAGAGGTAGGCGCGGCCAACAGCTGAACTGTCTGCAACGCCTGGGTCGCCTGAGGATCCATCTCACCTTAGGCCCTAGGAGCGTATTGCTCTGCTACCATGAACAGAAAATAAGCAACGCAATGAAATTCCTTGAGCCAAGCCCATACCATGTTGACACATACGGTCAGACAACTAAGGCAACATTATCTCGTCATATGTACATATACATATTCATACAGTGTATCATACATATACCCATAAATAGATATAGGTATATACATATAACATAAAGATATACCTTCATATATATATATATGTATGTATATATATATAAATAATGACCATACACAGACAAACATGCATACATATCTATATCTACATCTATATCTACATCTATATCTATATCTATATATATATATATGTGCATCTTCGACACCATGCAGCTGTTTTAGTAAGGGGTCCATATACAAATCAGTCTCAAGCTGCGTACTCGGGATACAACATCTGATTGACCCTCGCAAGCAAAATGGTACACACAGGACTAAAATTTTGACGGCGTAACTGCGCGTAGAATCAGCAAATCGGGAAAAATTAACAAGCGGACTGATGGTCAAAATGCAAAATATGGTTGGAGAAGCTCTTGCTGAGGACAAAAAGGCGCCACTAAAGTGCTGGAATATCATGAATGACCACTGGATATATATATATATATACACATACACATATAATGACTGCTTTTATTACTGCCATGGTTTACGCATTGTTTGCATGTTGACATGCATGATCTGCATACTCACTGTTCAGCACCGCAAATGCAAGATGCTGTGACAGCTTTCGGTCGAAAGAGAGTTGGTCCGACAGAAAATCTTGATGCGCTGGAGATCAATCAGGAATATCAAGGAAAGCTGCAAAGTAGCAGGATATCGGATGTTCATGAGTGCCGTGAAAGTTCGCCTTTCTAGTTCGGAGCGTCCAAGCAAGGCAAGAGAGGTAGATTGATATAGATCACTGATGATTGACGAGCAATGCCACAAATCCTGAGGCCCTGAACTCAAAGAGTTTTCCGAACCGTCCGAATTCACCCAGTTGCTGCGCTAGCTTCTCACATGCATCTGGCCTTGGAATTACAGTAAGCTATTGGGGTCGGTCTCTCTCCTACTCTTGGCAAAACTCCATCCTGAGTTTTAAAAAAACATAAAAAAAATCGCAAATGGTTCTGCAGGGTCATCAGGGGTGCTTTGATTCTGCAAATTCTTTCAATGCTACTTTTGTTTGCCGCCCAAGTACTGATCACCATCTGGCTATCCTGCTTCAGTTTGGCGCTGTTTCCAAAGTGCAACTCCAAGCTCCTGGCATCAAGAGCCTGGCAGCAGAATTTCAAGCCTCATTGAAGCTATCAAATACGATCAAACTATTTCAAATGATATAGATATATATATATATATATGTATATCGAATTATTGTTCCCGAGCGCGTCTGAGCGAAGGGTTCTTCTAATAGTGGGGGGGTCTGTCAAACATTTTCACATCTTCACATCACATCTTCAAATCCTCACATCCTCACATATTCACATCTTCTCATCTTCACATCTGCTCATCTTCAAATCTTCACATCTTCACATCTTCAAATCCTCACATCCTCACATATTCACATCTTCTCATCTTCACATCTGCTCATCTTCACATCTTCTCATCTTCACATCTTCTCATCTTCACATCTTCTCATCTTCTCATCTTCACATCCTCACATCCTCACATCTTCACATCCTCACATCCTCACATCTTCACATCCTCTCATCTTCACATCTTCTCATCTTCACATCTTCTCATCTTAACATCACATTTTCACATCTTCTCATCTTTACATCTTCTCATCTTCACATCTTCACATCCTCACATCCTCACATCTTCACATCCTCACATCTTCACATCTTCACATTCTCTCTTGCCCTCTTGCTCTCTTGCCCTCTTCTTTTTCCTTCTTTTCTATTTCTCTCTTCAGGCGCGGGGCAGTGCCAACGAGACGGCACGAAACGCAACCCTTTCGCACGAAACGAGCTTCGATCGCCAAAAACTGCAGTGAAATTGCGATTTCACAACCTCGGCGGCAACCCTTTCACACGAAACGATCTTCGATCGCCAAAAACTGCAGTGAAATTGCGATTTTACAACCTCGGCGGCAACCTTTTCGCATGAAACGATCTTCGATCGCCAAAA